TTTATAATCTGCTAAATTATATATAAAGGGGATTTTACTATGATTTTAGTGATTTCGCATGGCAACATCTATCTTTATTTGAGGTCGAAATTCCTCTCAACAGCTAATAGTAGAGAAATAAAGCTCCGCATGACCTCGATATCAAAATAAACTTGAAATTATGGGTCATTTCTCAGCACTCAGTTGGGTCGCTAAAGGGATTGACATGCTTCAAGTCCGGTGAACTATTTGTATAAGGACATCAGGCTTAATGCCTTATTTTCGACTACGTTAGCCTGGCTTTGTATTTTTTGTATAGCCAACGTACTAGTTCAATACATATTACATAAGTAAGTTCCGATTTTTAATTGAGGTCTTTGAATATGACTTATCAGGAGGTTGGAATTAAAGGTGACTACAGCATCTATTAGGGGGCTTGTTGAACCTTAAAGCTTCTCATCCCGTCTCGAACAACATGAGACAACCTTAAGGAGCAAACATTTTGGTGACGTTAGGCTATTCCAGGAAACACTGTCGATACAGACGCTTTAGCATAAAAATATATAATAAATGTATGTAGTAAGGTCAATAGAAACTAAAAAAAAATGTGAATATAAAAGGATTAAACGATATTGGAACACTTCTCTTAATATTCCATGCTTCCGACTTGGGGAATTGAACCCCGACCGCCTGCGTTGAAGACTGGTGTGTTAACCACATTGGGATTCGCCATCCGTCCAAATGTAATCTTTGTTCATCAATACCAGCATGAAATTATACACAAATGCCTTTAAACCCTTATGTTTATGCATACAGATATTTACTACGAATAGGAAACGTGCTTACGTTGACATTACATGGGTATGTCATGTTAATTGTTTTACCATAGGGGTTCTATGTTAACGCAATTGTTTTCAAGAAAGTTTCAGTGCTTTGGTTTTGTCATACAGTAAAACTCCACTACTTCAAACCCCTGGGGTCCATATCAATCGTTCGAGGAATTCATTGTATTCGACGAATCCGAGGTTTTACCGACATCGTCATGTTTTGTATCATGTGGAACGACAGTCAGTACGAGCACTGCATAAATGGCGAATAGTAGATGATAGAAGTAAAAAAAAAAAAAAAAAAAAAAAAANATTTGATAAGATATAAAAGAGGTGAACGATGAAGACATATAGCCATCGTTATTTAGAAAGGAAATAAAATTTCAAAAACCCTGCATGTGTAACGTGATAGGCGAAACTTCCCGGGTCGAGTGACATAAAAATATACAATTTCGTCACATCGTTGTACAGGTAAAAAATACAAACCGCTCTCTCAGTCATAGCTTGACACATGTACAGGGACCAGTCAGTCTTGAATCGTTGCGACACGTTTAATGCGTACATTGTTTATGTAGAAAGTGAAACTTTGATATAAATCTGTACATCATTACACGTCCTACTTACCTTTGATCTCAATACGTATAGGAGTTGTTTCTCTTCAACTGGTAGGTACCTACATAGCCCTTTATACAGTTACAATTTTAAAGATTTTGGACAAAACAAGCGATCCACTCTTCTGCCATAAAAAGTGTCAAAACAAATTCCTTATACAAAGTGACATCTTACCTCGGGTTTGATATAGTCCACCAGTAGGTGATGTAATATGATCACTGGAGATACGAATATTTTCTATTTTCGATCACTCTTAACAGATTGTAATACCACATCATATGGACGACAAGTCTTCTCTGCAGGTTTTGGACACATCGCAAGGGACTTGCGACCTGTTTTTCGATTTTAATATAGACACTTTTCTCATTATAATCATATTCGGATGGCTGGAAATTCCGTACTTCTACAAGTTGGCAAGAGGATTTTGATATACGTTTTTCATTTCAAAATGTTAATTGTGACGTATATCTCAACAACGTTCGTTAATTCCATTGAACTGTGAGTGACGCGACCATATTATCGTTTCTCCCAGAAAAGTTCATTCTCAAGGATTGGTATTTAAATCGTACTGATCCCGAGAAGTTCCGTAGTGTAATATAAATTCATGTAGTAGCTTCTCCACTCATATCTTTGTCTGGTGATGTAAACGGGGTGGTATCGAATTATTAAATAATATTAATAATTTTGATTCCTGGATGTCGAAAGTAGATAAATTGCGTCCCTCCCAGAGGGCATGTATCGTCACCTGGATAATAAAGAAACCATGGGAAATTGTTCTTATTACAATTAGCAATCCCTCGAATGGTACAAAAGAAGAAGTATTTTAAAGAATTTGCCCTATTGAGCCCCGCAACTCTGCACCTTAAGGGGCCACACCAATCATTTATACAAAATTAAGACCCCTTTGCCCAAAGATACTCCAGGCCAATTTTGGATAAAATCCCTTAAAAAGGGTACATAAAAAGAAGGGATTTTAAATATTTAAAACTCAAATTCCCTTAGGATGCTCCAGACCAAATAAGGATAAAACACCCTAATCCCTACGATAGAAGCATGGTTTTAAAGGTTTTAACTCTATTTTCCCTATTGGGCCCGCCCCTCTCCATCCACCAAGGGGATCCAAACCCACCATTTTAAAAAGATTGAGTCTCCTTTGACCAAGGATGCTCCAGACTAAATAAGGAAAAAATCCCTTAATCCCTTCGGTAGAAGAAGGATTTTAAAGGTTTACCTCTATTTTCCCTGTTGGGCCCCACCCCTTTGCCACCAGGGAATCCAAACCAATCATATATACAAAATTGAGTGCCTTTTACCCAAGGATTCTCCAGACCAAATAAGGATAAAATCCCTTAATCCCTACAATAGAAGAAGGATTCAAAAGGTTTTACCTCTATTTCCCCTGTTGGGCCCCACGCCTCTGCCCTCAGGGGTGGGGGATGGGGGCAAATCTGCAAGTTCGTTCAGGACGAGTAGCATTTTAAAATGAAAGTTGACGGACGGACGGACGGACGGACGCTGCGGTATGACTGAAAATTGAAGTTCGAACAAGTTTGACGTTTGCGCAGTAGTTTCTAAATAAACAAACCAAATTATACCACAATCCCCCAAAATCAAAATCAGTACTCGTACTCATAGCAACGGGTAAAATGCCTACTCCTTACACGATTTCTCATCCAAAGTTCCCTAACTGTAATTCATCTCTCGTTTCCTTTAGACTGGCACCTAGGCAGGTTCTCCACGAGTGAGAGTGTTGGTTCTGTGGCGGTCATTGGTTCTCGTGATGGTAAGTTATCTATTGACATTATCTACAGGAGACCCTGATATTTCTGAATATTGGAGAGCCAAAAGTTTTGCAGGGACACGGGTTGTCTGCACATTATGGCGTGCACTGTATTTGGCCATCATATTGCTGTCTGAAGTTTCTGCAGGTTGGGTAACTATGTTCTCTGTCTACAGATCGGGACCCGAGGAAATATACAGACTGAAACCTCAGCAAATCCCAATAAGTCTGTTGTATCCATTTGTTTGATGTCAACAATGATAACCAATGGGGAACCTTTCAAAACCTAAACATTCAAATTACTGATACCACTGCCATAGTTGTCGATATAATTTTGTATTCTCCCGGCTTTTCTTTCCTTCCCCCCCTTTTAAGAGTTTCCACGTTTATGTCTCCTATGTCAATAGTTTGTCTTTGTTTCATCAATTTTGTGCTAAAATTACGGTTATGTTGACACTTCGGTATCCCTCGTTTCATACCTTTGACACAAAGCTGGCTTGTTAGTATCAGATAAATGGATCCCATTCATGGCCATGATGTGGCATTTCAGTGAGTTGGCCGTAGTAGCTATTTCCTATACTGAGCACCGTTGTTATATAACGGCGGCGGTATTAGGTGCACTTAAACGTTATACATACACAATGAATGTAAACAAAGCGATACAGACGCATTGACCAAACGTTATACCCGGCTTATCATCATGACGTCACTTTACTAGAGATAGTACCCAGGATTACAATCCCTAGTTTTCATTGGTTCTATGTCGTGTTAACCTGGAATGTCGGTATTGAAATGTTTGCTGTGACTTAACGGATAGATTAACTATCGATCATAAATCAATTTGGCCAAAACAACACGTATTGAAGTCTTAAAATGTAAAGGAAGGTGCACCAATGGTTGTTCACCTATTTTGGGACAAAAAGGTGCCATTTTAGCGATGTGATACCAAATTGGACTAATCAACAATTTCTTATGCTAACTGATATCAATGATTTAAAGTCATGTGACACAATAAGTTATTATATAATGTAAGAATCACTATCGGGTATCTCTCATTTCAAACCTAAAGGTATTATTTTGTCTAACAGTGACCAAATGACCTCTGTTTTAAAACAGTTAATGACTGAATGAGTTAAAGAAAAACGATTTCATTTTCATCAAGACGAAAAACACTCAGGGACGATTGAAAGCTTCTAGTTACATAAAAAAAATGCTCAAAACTATTCAGGTAAGTCGTTCAGGAAGAAACATCTCGACGGACAAAATTTGCACCGGAAGTGACGTGTCACAGATGCCAGCGATCAATTGTCGGTCAAATCATTGAATGACATTAAATATATCCAGCAATTTCTAGCTTTTGTTAGCGTTATAACTGTATTATGTACTTGTCCCAAGAATAATGTGATAGGATAGATAGCCGCGCCATCTGTGTCGCTTATCCCGTAGAGTCGCTTGCAATTGGATGCGGGTTATATATAAGCGATGCACTGTGAAGCTTATGTTACCTTGCCTATATGTCAGTATAAGGCGGTTCAATGAAATTTCCCCGTTGATGTATAGTAAGGTCTACAGAATACATGTTGACTTAGTGTCCTCGACCACATTGTTTATTTAGTGTGATAGGGCCACTACAGATACAGAATATATGTTAGTGTACCGCGGTGAAAAACGCGCCCACTTGATCGTAAATGTTCATGTGTGTGCAAGAATGCCATTTGATACTTAGATTTTTTTAAATGTATATAGTTTTATATATGTGTCGATGGTTATGTTTAGGCAAACAAATGTGACAGTCAGTGGTGTTGTATGCGGCGATATATGAGTGTGTTGCCGGTCAGCCATTATCTCTCTTCCGTTTAGTGAAGTTTACATCTAGTCAACTCAAAAGGAACACGCTGTTGGTATTTGACCCACTTGCGACCTATTCGTCAGGTATGTCTTTCCGTCCGCGGTCAGCCTGTTATCTATTTGACTGTGTTTCAGTGTGGGGTGACACCTGCCGGGCTAGTTTGCTCGATAACATTTAACAATGAAGCACCTTTACAGGTATTTCGTTCTAATAGCTCTAATATTTTTACTCATGACTGCTGCGCTTCATTTCGTACCAAAATTGGTCATGAAAAAAGATGGATATGGCGGGAAATTACGATGCCCCTTGATGCCGTCAGAGCTCGGAGAAATATCGAATAAGGCTGAGGACAGTGATAAGAAATGGCCAGCCTGTAGTTTTATCCACAAACATGTCCGGGAAGGGTCTTCAAAACTTCCCTATGTGTGGGACAACGATAATGGTGACGATAGGATAGTTTCACAGATGGAATTTACTCCAAAAATCAAAGGAGAAAAGAAAGTGATATGGACGAGAGCGTCGGATTTCAATGTGCCAGCAGGAGATGCTAAATTTAGTACCTGTCCTGTTAACCATTGTACTATTATTGAGGATGAGAGTTTTCCAGTAATTGATGCGAAATTGTGGAATATGCAGTTTTCTCATATGGATATGCCTCGGTTAAATCCAGCCCGGACGAAACATCCGAACCAAGTATGGATAATCTACAACCTCGAAAGTCCCTTAGCAACCCCGGACTATTATCTACTAGACAATCTATTTAATTGGACAGCCTCTTATAGAAGAGATTCAACAATTGTGACGCCGTATGAAAGATGGCGTCCGCATGAAAAGGTCAAGCCTTCAAAGAAAAATCGAAATTATGCAGCTGGAAAAAGTCGAAAAGCCGCCATGTTTATTTCTAACTGTGATACTTCTAATGGACGAATGGATTACGTGCACGAATTACAAAAGTATATAGATGTTCATGTATACGGCGCATGCGGCGACGGAACTCACAATTGTGATAGATTTGAAAACCAAACAGCGTGTATAGAAACACTTAAGAGACATTATAAGTTTTATTTATCCTTCGAAAACTGCAATTGTCGACACTACATTACAGAAAAATTCTTCGTGAATGCATTGTCGTAAGTATCTTAAAGCCCACATTGTCATGTGATTATCGGTTTGTAAATGAAACAGTAGAATCATACCATACACAGCTAACTAAATATACAGCTCGCTAAATATTTTCGCTATACAGTATTGCACGGAATATACACGGAAATACACAGCTAACTAAATATCTTACTAAACACGTAAATGTATAGCTTACTAAATAGTTCACTTTACACGGAAATACACAACTAACCAAATATCTTACTAAACACGTAAATACACAGAGAAATACCGCTAAACACAGACAAAGATTCATTATACCTAGCTTCACTCAGACAAAGATTAATTATACCCAGCTACACACAGACAAAGATTAATTATACCCAGCTACACTCAGACAAAGATTCACTATTACCAGCTCCACTCAGACAAAGATTCACTATTACCAGCTCCACTCAGACAAAGATTCACTATTACCAGCTCCACTCAGACAAAGATTCACTATTACCAGCT